TGCCCACGCAGGGCCGGGTGCCCCTGGGGACGGGCACTGGGGTCCCTGGGCTGGGGCGGCAGCCAGGACACCTGGGCCCTTTTGGCACAGCGGGTGGACAGCAGCCAGCAAGCTTGGCCGCTTGGTGGGATTTTTCTCTGTCCAGGTAACACTTTTGCAGCAGCCAAAGGAGCAAAAAAACTTTCCTTTAAGTGCACAAAACCACCTTCCATGGGATTGTCCAAGCCTCGAGTGCCATCACGAGGCTCCAGGACCCAGCGCTTTCAGGCCAGCTGGCTGGGGAAGGGGGCTCAGGCGTGGAGAAGGCCTGAGGCCGGGATGAGGGGCTGGGAACGCTTCCTCGCGCATCCCGCAGCAGGACACTAATATTTTATTTAAAATATCTTTAGGAAGGAGAGGGCCGTGATGTATCGAATGTATTGAGAAAATGCTAATGTGTAATAGCGTGTGTCAGGGGCCTCGTTCATCACCCCGCGCCGCCTTCTGGGGGATCCATATCTAATTAACAGTAATGAATGAGGGAGCCCACCTAATGACAGCCAGCCAGTTTGTTATGGAAATGAGGCAATCCCATTAGGCAAAACACTTAATTAAACAAACTGCTTGGTGTGGAGGCCTGGGCACGATGGGGTCCATCCTGGTTCCCCTCTATGCACCAGGCAGCACCGGAACAGCTCTTGCCCCACGGCACCATGAAACCCCTCTTCCTCCCTGCACCCCCTGCTGTGGGTCAGGGCCAGCCCCAGGGCACCCAGGGTGCTCCAGGTGCAGGGACGGGCGCTGTGCATGGCTGGATGCCGTGGGGCACAGCGGGGACCCCGGCGAGGGCCCGTCGCCGTCTCACTTCGCATGCACAGCGCAGCACAGCCCCGGCGCGGCCGCCCGTCGATGCGCGCGGAGGCCAAACACGGATTTCCAATCAAACGTGTGTACTTGGCTCCTGCTCTATTGACACTGAAGCAAGCAGGGCTCAAGGTTAATTCCTTATCAATACCCTATTGTCAGCTCATTAATCACCCGCGAGGGCAGGGGCTGCCCACGCTCTGCCTACCCCAGCTACCAGGGTCCCGGGGACGCAGCCCAGGCACTGAGCACAGCCGGGCTCCAGGCTCTTTGGAAAGCTGGCACTGAACTACGTCCCTACGGACACGGGGTCCTGCCCTCTCCGTGTGGCCCTGCCGGGGCTCCTCGCACGCTGGTACGGAGGCTACGCAGCGCTGCGGTGCAAGCTCTGCTTCTCAGCGCTGTCTTGGTCCTCTCGCTGGTTCTTGGTGCTTCCACCGGGAGAAGGCGACAGGCAGCACCCAGCCTCGGTGCCTGGCACGGGACCTGCCCGGGTGGCTGCAAAGGCCCTGCAAGAAACAGGATCCGGCTACACCCTCCTCTCCACTCCTGACAGTTGGACACATGTCGAAGCCCAACCACTTCCCTGTTTTAATCCTACCCCTACATATCCTATTCCCCACATAACTCCTCACGCTCCCCGCTGTGCTGGGCACTCATCTCCCCATTAGAGCAGCTCCCTGGCCCCACTGCAGCGCAGTCCCCAGCCTCTGCAGTCACCGCACAAGGACACGAGCGGCCCCCGGGCCCCGCAGCAAGGCGCGAGGGCTGAGCACACAGCGATCCCGCCTTGGCCAGCGGCTCCGCTTCCCTGTGATCCAGCCTGCAGGAAAACCGGCTAAAGCAGTGGATGGGGCAGGAGGAAAGAGGGGACCTGCTGCCACCTCGTGGAACCGCGTCTCCTTCCCGGCCTCCGCTCCGTATCCAGCCTCGCAGGTCGGGCGCTCCGGAGCGTCACGTCCCGCCGGCACCGCTGCAGACCCTGCAACGGCTTCATGGGGCCTCCTGCTTGAGGAAGGGCTCCTCTCCGTTCTGGAGTTGGGAAACTTTTATCCACGACTTTTTCATCTCAAGCAGACGCTGCAGCTCAGTGCATGGGCCGCCACGCACAGAGACAGGGTCACCCTCTTTACAACCTGTGCACGCAAGAGGCAACGGGAGATCTTTTAAAGGCTTTATCAGCTGCGTGCGCAGACCGGTCCCTATCCCACAGCCTGGGATTTACCAAGCTATCCCCATGTTTGGCTTTGCCCATCGAGGCTGAAGCTCTCGGGGAACATTGGCTGCACCAAACTGCGAGTTTAGCAAGGATTAGAGGTTGCTTTTTTAAAAAATCCAGTAGAGCTGGGATCAGTTCCTGGCTGCGCACCCACAGGCCCCAAGTTATTAACCTTCTGCTTCAAGTAACAAGCAACAGAAATACAAAGGGCAGAAAAGGGGGGGTGAACATACATGCTATACAGGGAAGGAAAGGGCAATATATCACACAATGCTTTTATCACACCACTCATAATCATGATTAAAACTTGCTGGGATACAGAAAACTAAACCCACCCTGAAGATGGGTGCTGACGACTCCCTCTCTAAGTCACCAGCCTGCTGGAGACTCCCCCGCTGCTCTGGGGAAAGGGGATACGTGGGTGAACCCTGAACTCCAGGCAGCTTTCGGAAGGGCGGGATGCCCGGGAGCGAATTCCCGCTCGCGCGGCGCTGGGCGGCCCAGGGAGGGCAGCTCTGCAGCTCCCAGGACAGCAGGACCAGGCGCAGCGGTGAAGCAGACGCGGAGCTGGGCCTGGGAGCGAGGGCCTGCGCTGCCCCCCAGGGATCGGGCACGAAGGGGAAGGTTAAGGGTGCAGGAGACGGCGGCGGGATCTTCCCAATGGGTCTGACCATCCCGTCACACGGGACGGAGGGTTGCGCTCCCACACGCTCCACAGAGGCCCAACTGCCTCAGTCGGCGCAGGGGGAAGCCCCACACCCAGGGCAATAAACAGCAACAGCAGATTCCCAACTGCATTAACTCAGTGGCCCGGATTATGAAGTGTTTAAGTGTTCTATAAATAGCCAACCCGTAGGAACCAGCATGAGGGCGAGCGCCAGTTAAATAACCCGCATCACCTCTGCTCCCTAAGAATTCCAGCCCCGCAAACAGGCTGGATGCTCAAGACAGGTAGAGCAGAGCTCTGCAGGAAGGCACGAGCACGGATCACAGCTCAGCAGTTACAGCACTGGCAGCACAAGTGAGATTTAGGGTTAAAAATAATAAAAAACTCTAATGGACTTTCTGGGATAGGGGACCACATTTGGATTTCGTACATATGAATCTTAGAAACAGAAATTTCTTAAAAAAAAAAAAAAAAGATATTGAAGCATCTCTTACCACAGGGTAGCTCGCACAGCTCATCTTCACTGTGAAGCGGAAACTCAGGGATTAAACCTACACAAGGGTCCCCATGCTCAGAGGCAGTTTTCATGTAAATAATCAAAAACAAGCCAAGCAGCCAGCCCCTCTTTTCAGTCACTTCTCACATATCCTCTACAGGCCAGTCCACCCTTTAAGAGAAGCCCAACATGGGGTTATTCTTCGTTTTAAGTGTTGTCACGTTACTCTGCTAAAAACAGATGCTAAGAACAGCCACAGACCACAACCCACCCTGTGTAGTCTCTTGTGTGAGGTGTCAGGGTTCGTGTTTTGAATTCAGAAATAATTTTAGTGCTTCCCAAGGAAGATCTCTCTGTGCTTCCCTCCAGAACAGCAAGGGCCTTGCAACAGCACGTGGCAGCACAGCAGGGCGGCGGGCAGCAAACACCCATCACAACCCTGTGCTTTTCATGCTCCTACCTTGCAAGGGCAGTCTCCTGTTTTTCAAAGAGGTGCCTCTCCGGGGCCTGTTCCTGCCAATCTGAGAATAAGCACTTGAAGTTGACTAAAACACTCACGCCATGTTAGTAAGGAGCTGGTGGTGCTGAGGCACAGAGGACCTACTTCAGTAGCAGGCTCTGACTTCATCCCCATCCCTCCCCAGGACAAATCACAAAGCCCAAGACCAAACAAAGCTAAAAGAAAGCACAACAAGCTATTGTTTCACTGGGTAGAATGAAATCATTTCTTTGCATTATGAGAACACACTGCACAGACAGCGAAGACGGATCCTCTGAAAGAGAACATTATGGGGAAAAACATTGAATTTCATGGTCATTTGTGGGCTAGCTCAGTGGATGTGATTTAAGAAACATACAACATAAATCATAGCTCCGAGAGACTGTTCCATTTTTCTCTCCAATTCCACCTTTCTATTTCTGAGGTCTTTTGGGTTACAGCTATGCCAGTTTCCCTGCGTTTCCAGATGCACAATCTAGGCTGCTCCACGACATGCAGTAATAAATCAGTATTTCTCCAGAAAAGTAAAACTGCTCAGGAGAACACAGGAAAGACAAAAAGAAAGAAAACCAAAGAGATGAACCTCATGTTTTTGTTGAAGAACAGAAAAGTTATCACAAACATTTGAGTCCCCTCACATGGCACAGGAATCAGTGTTTTGGTTGTGTTATCAATGCATCTATGCCCTTTAATTAGACCGGATGGCAGTTGGGTTGTATTTCCACAAACAAACCTTTTCCAGATCTTACACTGGCCTCCTGCTCTCCAGCACCACCTGCACAAGAGTTGCAATGTGCTGAGAGAAGAAGGAAATCCTGCAGAGCTGCTTCTGTTTGCTCACTACAAGATGAAAGAAAAAGCAAAGAGAAAAAACAAATACATTGACGAGCTGTAATGTTGGAACCAGTACAAACAAGAGAACATGCACATAACACATCAGGGACAAGAACACAGCATGGAAAGCAGAGAACAACACAGGACAGGAAGAAACAAACAACACTCCAGGTGAAATTCTGGTCTACGACACTTCAGTAAAGCAGGTAAAGCTAGAATTTCACCTTCAGGACTTAAAATTACCCCAGACCCACTTGCTGCTATGACTCGGCTGGCCTATGGCCAGCCTGGAGGCTTGCAGACATTTACCTAGTGGGAAAAAAAAGTGCTAAGAACAGGGAAAAATCTCTGCTTTTTTCACTTGAAAAACACAGATATACGGAGTGATGTCTCCCACACGCCCTGAGCAAAGCAGGGGCATCCCGAGGCGGCTGCCACACGGCTAGCGAGGGGCGCCCTGGACACAGTCCGACAGGAAAGTCCTGCAGAGGTTGCTGTAGGAGGTGGGATACGCCCGCAAATGGCTCACATGAGCGGAGTCGGAAAAGTCCACGGCTCTCGTGGAGACGCCGAGGCGCTGCCGGGCGTCAGCCATCCGCTCCACGTCGCTGGCCTTGATGATTGCATCAGCCCGGGAGTAGAGGTAGAGCTCGGGCCACCGCGAGGGCGCCTTGAGCAGGGCGTCGTAGTGGCTCTCGTGGACGAAGCGGGTCAGCGGGTACAGGATGATCCGCATCACCACAGCAGTAATGGCAAAGCTGAACAGCAGGAAGTACTTGAGCAGCACGTTAGTGGACAGCAAGACAGTTCCCAGGGCGCGGAGGGCTCCTCTCAAGTTTCTTCTGCCCGGGGCACTATCAAAAATGGTGCCCACTACCCTGAGGTTCTTGAAGGGCCGCTGTGTGTGGAGAGCCTCGAGGACATAGCGGTACAGCATGACCCCACCGTTGCTGAAAACGTGAAACAGAACAGGTCTGTTTTCCATGCTGTAGTCAAAGAGAAGCTCCAGGAGTCTCTGAGCTGGAGTCTGGAGGGATTTGATGCCAAAAGACTCCGAGAAGAACACCTTCCTCCATGGAGCCGTGTAGCGGATGATGGCGCACCCCTAAAACAAAAAACAAGCAGACAAAACACAGATACAGACCCCCATTTTGGGCTATGATGTTTATTACACAGAGTATACAAACATCAGGACAGAGGATATGAAGGTTTGGGTCAGGTTTCAAACAGATGCCACACGACCGCAAGGAGCTCTTTAGTAGCAAAGCCCCCAGTATCAACAAGACTGTAGCAATCACTGGAGCACTCAGTACTGGGAAAGGGTTTTGCAAGAGCAGAGGACCTGGATTTGATGGCATTTAAGATCCTTCCAAGTCTTGTGCTAACTGGCACAGGCCCTAAGGGCACTACTGCCCACGCTGCTATTAATCTTCAACCAAGAACAAAAACAAAAAAACAGGCCCTCTCTCCAACTCACAAATCTCCAGCAACAGGCATTTTAGGAGAAAGAATTACCCTAATGTACATCTCATTTCCAAAAGTGAAACAAATATTTACAGAAGTGAAACAAATATAAGGAACTGCCTCTGGTCCTTCGGCACTACCCATTTGCAGGCATCTCTAAGGCTCACCCCCGATAAGCACGGCTGTGATTCCGTAATCCTCTCTGAAACTCGAGTTGTGCAAGTGAAAAGAGACGGTTCCAAGACCAATGCAATTTGCCATTACAGTTAATATCTCACCTCTAGGTACAAATTGGGAAACAAGACATCAAAGACATTTCTATCCGAGTTTTGTACCCCCCTGAACTCCTGTAACTCTGCACTGACCACTGCAAGGCAAAGGCACCACGACCACCCTCCCTCCCAGAGCTGCCTGAACAGCGACATCAAGTTTCAGTCCTTAAATCAAAGGTTTGTACATCACCTTGCCAAGGCCTCAGCCACTTCCTCATTTGGGGCCCAAGAGAGCCTCTCCTCTCCTTTTCCATTCCCATTATCCTTCTGACAGGAAAGTATTCCACAGGAATTGGCCTGCTGCCCTGTAATGAGCTCCTCATCTGATCAGCAGCATCTCCTAGTCATAGCAGTCACTTAACAATTAATTTTTCACTAGAACAAGTCAATGAGAATGATTAAATACTATAAACGCACTTGTTAATATGCAAGGCTGAAACACGTCTGGTAAAACAAGATTCTGGCACTTCCACAAAAATAAAACAACTAACGTTTAACTGGGTCCCAGCACCACAAGCTGATATAATTCCAGCAAATCCCAGTGTTAAAAAGGAACATGCTGTAGCTAAGGGACTAGCAGCTGTACAGACCTCTTTATTCCAGACACTAAGAGCTGCTGGTGACCAAGTATCAATATCATAGGATACCTGCTTCTCAAAAGGATAAAATGAATTGCAATACAGCATGCAGATAAACTACCTCAATAAAAAGGAAAAGCTGAGGGAATGTCAGATGCTGACGGGCTCTCAGTCTCCAGACTCACCTTGCCAGGTCCGGGGCACATTAGCAAGCAGTAAATGCATGGCTTTTTAGAGACAAGACAGAACCTACAGTTTTGGTGTTACATTAACAATCCCACCGTTTTAAAAGTCTTAAAATACTGCAGCAATTCACGTGGAGATGCTCTGAGCAATTTTAGTCTCTCAGCTGCACAAGCAGAGCTGACCTCAGCACTGGCTTCAATAATACCAGCTAAGCAGCTCCTAGACACAAGGAGCTTTCAATGACCCCGAGGGCTCACTCCGTCCTGCCAGTGATGCATCAGAGCGACCTTCCTGGCGTGCAGAAAGACAACTGCTTTTGGAGGGCCACACGGGAGAGCCAGGAAGGCAGGAACGCGCTGCTCACCCTCTGGCTGTATATCGCGCTGTACTTGGCCAGGTGCCTGTCCTGACAGCCGGCCCAGCCCAGGAGAACCACCACGGGCTGCGCTGGCCCCCGCTCCGTGTCACTCTCTGCAACAAAACAGAAGATCGACAGCGGGGGGGGGCGGGGAGGCCAAATCCCCTCCCCCTCCCCAACCGCGGACCCCCGAGCCCCCTGGCACCGGAAGGCCCCG